CAGGGGTCTGCGCCACTCCTGGGTGCGCGGCGCCCGCGGCGCCTGGTCGGACACCGTCATCGCTGTCTGCCACGTGTCCCATGTGCACAGTAGGAGTCTTCCCATGCGCCACGGAACTCTGCCAGTTCCGCGTGCCTCGCCAATACGGTGCGATGTGCCTCGTATGCCAGCCACCTGAATTGTTGCACTTCTGCTCCACCCAAGCATGCGCCAACATTGTCGAGACGGTCGCCGACACGCTTTGCTGTCTGTGCGCCTCGTCCTCATTCCCATGCGCCACGCGCGGGTGCACAGGTCGCAGTACCCCAGGCTCATCAGGTCTTTGCCGCGATTGCGGTAGGCCCCCATCAGGCCACGCCCAGATAACGTCGAAGCGATCCGTGGCGCAAGCAGACCGCCCCTGCGGATCACCAGGTTGTAACGGCGTCCGTGCAGTAGGCGACCCGAACGGACGGTGCGTCGCTTGCACGCGGAGAGGGCAGCCGTGCATTCATCGGCCCCATGGCTGCATCTACCGCGTCGGAGCCGACAGACCAACGGCACAGTGCAAGCGCTGTTCACTTACAGGCCCGCCTTGCAGGGGCCCGGATCAGGACGGCTGCCGCGCGAAAAAAGACCACGGAGTGAGGCGAGCAGTGACAGGTAACAACGGTATGTGCGAGCGCTGCTGCCGACCGAAGTGTTCCTTCCCTGGGTGCCAGGCCTTCCTCACCAAGGCCATGTACGCATGCGGGTTCTGCCGACAGCACGCCCAGCATGCCGCCGTCCCCGTAGCCGTCGCGGAGTCGCGCTCCCGAGCATCGTTCGCGAGCGCCGTCGTGCACGCCGGCGCTGCCAGTCCATTGCAGGTTGTCCGGAAAGAGGTTGCCGCCCTGGTGCGCAAGTACCTCCGAGACTGCGCAGCGCCACAGTGCAGCGTCCCATGGTGCCGTCGCAAATGCGCGCACGTCCGGCTGAGGGCCTCCTCTTCCGAGCCGCCCACCTGCGCAGACCACCGGAATTGGTTCGCGGAGCCGACGCCCGGGACAACTCGCGGCATCCGCCAAGGGTATCGGGCTGCATGGTGGTCAACGGATGATTGGAGCAGCGGACGTGTTTTGAAGGCTGCGCTGTCGAGCGCTGGGCGGTTCCAAAGCGCGTGCCCGCAATGCCGCGCGCTTCACTTCGACGCCGAATGCTCCCGCGGCACCGGTGTCCGAAACGTTTTCGGAACGTGCTGCCGATGCGGCGCTCTCGCTGGAATTCCCGCGCTCCCTCCGGCACCGGCCCCCATGGCCGAACTTCTGCGGGAGGGTCCCAACCATGACCATTTCATGCAGCACATACGGTCGTACAACTGCGCCATGGGCTTCGCGTCGTTCAACTCAGAATCCACCGCCGCTGGAACGTCTCAGACCGGGATGGTGCAGGGCAGCAGAGGCCCCCCCGTCTATATCCTCCACGGCCGCGCTTTCAGGTCCATGGGGACGTTGTACCCCGCGTCTGGGAGTCGCCCAAAGTATGCGCAACTGTACATCTACGATCCCGCCGAAGCGACAGCACTCCGTGCTCAAGCCTTTCCGGACCTCCAGGGAGCCATCCTTGAAAGCCTGGTGACGATGCTCACGCAGACGACTGCAAACCCGTGCCCGTCGCACTTCCGTTCCATGCACAATATTGTAGAAGCCGCACGGACAACGCACGGCGAGGCATCGCAACAGCACGTTCTCCGCTTCTCGGGCGGCGTTGAAAAAGACCCACGGCGATGCAGTGCGCCGTCCGCAGCTGAGGTCGCCTGCGCAGTGGTCGGTGAAGGCCCGCTTCCGCCTCGCTACGTCTCCGTCTTCCCCCGCCGTTCCGACGGCTCCGCCGCCACCCAGGAGGTCTCCTTTTTGTCCGAACATGTGGACCCCTTGACGTACCCGCTCGTGCACGTAGAGGGGACACTCGGCTACTCCCCTGCCTTGCACACCGACGCAGTGGGCCGCAGGAAGAGGCGAAAGATATACATGCGGGAATTCTACGCACACCGCCTGCCTGAAGTTTCCAATGCACTCTAAATTTAAGGTATTGGCGTTTGCAATATTTAAGCTTAAATCTAATATCTTACACATAACTTTTGCTTAACATTTAAGGTCGTGAAATGCCCCATTTAACGCTAAATTTAAAGTTATATTTAAGGTTGCGAGCGCAACTATTTAGCGGCAGTGGAGGTCGTTCCATTCTGGCCGCAACATGCCATGCAGCGCGTGCGCAAGAAATTGTGGCTCGGTTGCAACGACGTATGAGTGATGGGAAGGACGGCCTTGCACTGTCCCTGCGTGCGCAGCCGCAGCGGAGTTCCGCGGTGCGGATTGCATATGTCATGATTGCTCCTGTCCTTTCATCGTCGCCAGGAGTCCCACGACCCACCCACACGCCCGCGACCCGCTCGCGACCCGCCCGCCGCCCACCTGCCACCCGCTCGCCACCCGCCCGCAACCCTCCTACGACCCGCCCGCGACCCTCTGGCCACATCCCCGCGACCCGCGTGCGATGCGACGCGCCGCGCGCGGCCGAACGGATTTGTTATTCCTCTCATAGATACTGGCGCATGGCATTTGCGAGTATGAAAACTGAGTGGGAAGGAAGCCGAACCCGAGGACAATGCATGCGAACCAGCGGAACTGCTTGGCAGTCGGCGGTGAGAACGATTTTCCGATCAGGGCCATCGTGCCCGTCTCCCCCTGACGATGGGCATGATAGTCTCGCCCTATGCGCAGCTCGAATCCAGAAGTCCTCTGCTCAACCCCGCCCTGGGCGAACAGATAACCCCATGGCCCAGATCGCCCCTAGCATGCCCGTCGAAACGATCCCGAGATGGTCCCATGACGACCCCGCGACCCTACATATGACCCCACGCCGACCGCAAGGTTTCAAGGCAACCCCAAATGCCATCTCGAGATCACACACCACGACCCTAGCAATACCCAGAGACTGCCAGAGGACGACCCACAGATGATCCCGCGACGACCCCTACATGGCCCGATGACCCCATAGATGGCCCCGAAGTCTTAAGATGACCGCAGAACGACCGCGAGAAGAACCAGAGACAACGTTTTTTTTTTCTGTGCGCACGTTGCGGCATCTGTGTGCACGCATGGTTTCCCCTAGAGCGGTCCTGTGGTGCAGTGGGCAGACGGGTGGCTCGAAAAACCTGCTAGGCAAGCCCCGTCCAGGAAACTATCCTAGTTTTGCATGCCTGCTGTTGCTGCTTCCCTTTTCCCCCTCGTCGCCCTAGCTGTCCCTCCTCGCGGCGAGAAGGAGGAGGAGGAGGAGGAGGAGGAGGAGGAGGAGGAGGAGGAGGCAGAGGGTAGCGTCGTCGCTCCCGCCGCCGCCGCTCCCGTCGTCTCTTCCCCTGCCTTCGCCGCCGCCGTTTCTGCCGCTGCCGCCGCTGCCAGGGCTGTAAGTGCATCGGCCGCTGTTGCCGCTGCTGCCGTTGCGTTTGCTCCTGCTCTTGCTCCTGCTGCTGCTCCTGCTGTTGCTTTTGCTGCTGGGCTTTCGCTCTTCCGTTTTGTCCCCCTCTCCTTCCCTCACCTCTGGCGCTCCCCCTCCTCTCCCCCTCCAGCCCTCCCCCCTCCCTTCCCCCCCTGCTGCTGCTGCGGGCCCCTTTCCCTCTGCCTCCCTCGCTCCCTTTGGTGCTGAGTTCGGTCCGTTTCACTTCCTTTTCCTCCTCCCGTCCCCTCCCCCCCCTCTCCCGGGGTGGCGCAGGGCAGAGGCCGCGCCGTCCCCGCCATCCCCGTCGTGGTGCGCCTCCTCCAGACGAGCCTGGAGGCGGGGCCGCGGCGGCCCGGCCAGGGACGGGCAGAGGGGGGAGAAAGAGAGAGAAAGAGAGAGAGAAGGCGGGGGAGAGGAGAGGGGAGGAGAGGGGGGGACGGGGGGAGAGGAGGGGAAGGGGCAAACGAGCAAGAGAAGAGGGGGGAGGAAAGCAACGACATGGGAGGCGATGCGAGGCGAATCGAGGATGCGGAAAAGGAACAACGATAGAAGAAACATATGGAACTCGCAATTTCGCGCGATCGTGTAAATGCACGCGGTAACAGTCGAAACACTTGCAGAACTTTGGACACACCCACTTGCGGGTCTGTCCAACATCAGCTTGGCAGGCCAGGGGATGATACGCAGTAGGGTTAATTCGTACCCTTCGCCATCTGGCCTCACTAGTCCCCTCGTCCTCCGCCTCGCCTCCTCCTCCTCCTCTCCTCCTCAAAAAATCGCTGGCCGGTTTAGCGGTGCAAATTTCAGTGTTTCACCTTGGCCAGCCCCGCGGTACAAATTTAAGTGCTTCAATTTGCCGTTTTGAAGGCTGTTCGAATGGAGGTGCAGTCTTTCGGTGCCCCAAAAAATCGAACCACTTGCAGAACGTCCCAAAACCATAATGCAAGGACAATGAGGGAGACCAGACAGACATGGAAAGAGGCTCATAACCACCAGAAAAGAGAAACCTGGTAACAGCGATTTTCTCGCATATCGTTCCGCACCGACTTGTTTTTTGCTGGCCCCAGGGCCCGAACAGCGATGAAAACAAAATAGGATCGCCCCGACGCGCGGTTTGGCACAAACCGCATCCAACGAACACGGCGTGAAAAAATGCAGCCGAGAAAAACAACAACAACAACATTGCACGTCAGAGGTGGGGGCGGGGGGGGAGAGCGGGAGGAGACCGCGGGTGGGGGAAGATGGGGGTGGAACATCATTTGCGGCAGCTGCAAGAGCAGAAGCGTCAGCAGCAGTAGGGGTGAGGGGGAGGGGCGGCGAGGAGGACTAGGAGGAGGACGAGCCATGATATGATTATTTTTCTGCGAAGATACAGGCGTCTCGATTTCTTGCTCCAGTTAAAAAAGGGGGGTCTCGAAATCGAGACGGGCAAAACTAGCAGCGGGCATCGTGCCCAAGCAGCGGGCACCAAGTAGAGCGCCAGGCATTTAGTAGCATAACTTGAATTCGTCCATAAAACGCCGCGCTGTTTCTTGGCCTCCTACCTTAAATTTGAGCGTTTTGGAGATTTGGACCGCCACAGTACGAAGGCCGATCTCGCCGTAGCCGTACTTCTTCATGGTTTTCTTCACTGCCGATATCTGCTTCGACGTCAGGTTGCCCGCTTTCTCCAATGTAGATTTTCTCCCCGATACCTTCGCGCCCCCGGTCGTCGTGATTAGCTTTGGGGACAGCTTCTTTTTGAGGCGCTTGGTATTCTTTATGGCCTTCTTGACGTTTTTGGCCCGCTTGTCCCGCCCCTCCTTCAGACGATAGATAACCAGGTCCTTTTCGAGTTCAACCCGTGCGAATTCAATGCGGCGCATGAAAACCTGCACGGGGCTGGGGTCGTGGTCGAAAAGCCCCGGCGCGTCGGCGACGATGATCGTGATCCCCAGCTTTTTGCTGAGGTCATAAATCTCCTCCGCCACCTTGGCGGAGCGGGACACAGCCCGACTTTCGCCGACAAACAGCTTCTTGTTGCCTTTGCTGGCCTCCTCCAGCAGGGTCTGGAAAGTGGCCCTTTGGGGTAGCCACGGTAATCAATAGCGGATCTAACAATGATGCGTTCATGTTTTCCCCATCCCATTTACGACCCCCCTGCTCTGATTACGTGGCTGACCTGACCTTTCCGCCAGCGGCAAGCTCCCGCTGATGCGCTCGCTCACGAACTTGATTTCATCGTTGTAGGCGCGTGCAGCTGCAGCACCACTCTTTTTCTGCCGTGCTTCGCTCCCCTTGTCGGCTCCGGCATTCGCCGCCGAGCTCGTCCGGGAGTACACGATGGCCTTGCCTCGCGCCTTTCTGCGGCGCATGGCAATGCGGGGCGCCATTTTGCACTGGGGGGGGGATCCGAAGTTGCGACTCGCGAGAGCCGTCGGCTTGAACCAACGTGGGATGACGATGACTATTGTGACGAGCGATACACAAAAAGTATGGGAGCATAAGAATTTGGATGAAGGGTGAAGGGCGGGGCTGGAGGAAGCAAAGGAATGAAGAACGAGAAAGGGATGAACAAACGGGAAGAGAAAGAGAAGTGGGAGGAGCATCGGGGGGCAAGAGTTTGGGGGGGGAGTTGGAGCAGGAATCGCACTGCGAGTAAGTTTAGGATTCGGCGTAGTAAGGGGATTTTATCATTGCAGTACTCAGATAACCTTCTTGGGGCAATAGCTGTGCAACGGCGCAATGAAACTGTCACGGAATACCTCTTGGAGGTGGTGACCATTTCGACAAGTCAGAGGAACAGTTAAATGCCTCAAGTGATCCAGACAGTGCTCGTGTCTCCAGACGAGGAAGGAGGACGGAGGGAAACTATAATGAGGACCTGTACAGTGAGGTCTTAATCCACAGGTAGCATTTGCATAGAAGTGCTCGCACCCCCACCCCGCGCCCGCATATGATGACAAGTGGCCCGAAGAAGAGATAGTAAAGAGGAGTAGGAAGAACTACTCCCGCGCAGAAGGGGGGCGAGGGGGGAGACCAAACGACTAGGAAACGGGGGCTGAGGAACAGCAGGTTGAATGCGATCAGGAGGGGCGTAGGAGAGTCGGGCGCTGGTTGCCATAATTACTGTCGGTGCTAAAAGGCGTTCTGGGTCAAATACATGCCAGTTCTGAACAGCGATGTCCGCCTGGAGGGCCAGGGTCGACCATGATGTGACCGTCCGCCAGATCCAACAGATCTTGCAGGGGTGGCTGAAACAACAGGAGAGCAAAGACCTCCAGGCCGCACTCGGCCCGGAAGTCTTCCGAGTCCAGCGGGGCCGCGCCTCCCCGCCCGACGTCTTCTCTTCGAAGCAGCCGCTGTGGCTGGAGCTGGTGAAACTGTGCCCTGAGTGCCGCCTCTCGCCTACGAGGACCACCAGTGCCATTTTGGCAATGAACGCCGAGGAGGAGCCGGCATCGCAAAATGGGGTTCCTGGGGCAGGAGGGCCCCTATCCCGTTTTCGTGGGGCAGTCGCGGCCGCTTTGAATTGTAGCCGCGCAGGAGTGCCTGTTTGGCGGAAAAAGCTTCCAGACCCAGGCCGACGACATCGGGGGCGCCATCAGGGCCACTGTAGCGAAGATCCGGGAACTCAAGGGCGACGCCGTTGCGAGGATTGCTTTTTCAATGTTTTTTTTTGTTTTGTACAAACTAAAACGCGGCGGGGGCGCGCCCCAGGGCAAAACATCGCCACAGGCGCGTCTTGCTTGGCAAGTGCTCGCTCGAGCAGGCGGATCGCATCCACGCGCTCTTCGCGGCCGTCGCCGCCCCCGCGCCGACGCCGCAGGCGGGCCCCGCGAGGGCCAGAGCAAACGAGAACGAGGGCGGCATGGCGCCCCCAGGCGACCCCGCGCAGAGGGCCGGCGAGGACGAGGGGCGCGCGCCAGTGAAGTGCACCGCCATCGTGCCCATGGGCGCGGGGCAGGCGGCGCCGACTCGCTCCGCCCCGACACCCTGCGGCACGTGGAACACTGACCCCCACGGTTCAGTTGGGGAGATCCCAAGATCCAATTCTCCATTTTGGGTTTTCCTTAACATGTTTTTTAAAATGGCATGCAATATCGTTGATATTCCGGAGGTTTCCATTGGCCCGACTTCGACGCCGTGTGGGACATGGTCGCCGGAAACGAGCCAGAGGGGAACTCCCAGACCACCCCCGTGAAGAAAGCGTGCCCGACTTCCCCTTCTTCGTCTGGGATGAAGGACACGTTTTCTTTTTGTTCTTGCGTTCTCACTCAGAACGCCAAGCGGTCCACATGTTCTGTCCTCCCTAACGTACATGATTTCCCCTGGCCTCGAGTTCTGCTCTCACTCAGAGTGGAAGTCGCCTCGCAACCATAAACGCGACCGCACCGTCGCCAGAAAACTCTCTTCTTCTTCTCCGAGAAGGCTGGGAGTTTGAACCGCCTGTTCGAGGACCAGGCGCCGACGAGCACGCACGGGCTGACAGCTGAGAGCGTCCTCGAGGACGCGCGCAGGGTGCCTCCACTTCCCGCTGGCGGTCGCGCGATCTCCAAGATGGTGCTCTGGGGAGCCCGCCTGAACGCGTAGGATGCCCCATTGACTCAATGGGGCTCTCGACCTAAAACTGCGGATAGGCCGGCGCACCCAAAATGAGGATGTCAATCTTATGTTGTTCCGGCTTGCCCGCCTCACTTTGCGCTCTTCCGCAGGTGCGGGACGCCGTCGCCATCGAGCACCCTGAGAAAGCCAAGAAGGGAAGGGCGAGGCAGGGCAAGGGGGGCAAGGGCAAGAGGGCAGCCCAGGGAAGCAAGGGCAAAACAAAGAAAAAGGTGAGCAAGGGCAACCATAGCAAAACACGGGCCAAAGCAGATGCGGCTGCTGGCCCAGGGAACCCCGCCCGCGAGCTGAAGCAACGCATCGTGCAGTGGATGGAGGACGGGACCGCAGTCCCTTGGGAACACTTCTTGCGCCCCACAGACAATCGGAAAAGGTTCACGTCCAGGGCGTGGCACGCTGGCAGGGACGTGGCCGCGAGTTTTGGCATGGACGACCCCCTCTCGAAGGCGAAGGCCGCCTCAGTGTCTGAGATGGCTGGCGCGTGGTACTCCGCCCACGGCATATAGGTTAGCCTTGCGCCCTTCAGGGTATCTGGCGCCACGCATTTACCGTTCCGTCGACTGGCCCCTGCTGCTTTAGCGCGGTGGGTTGGGGCCCATGGCACCGCTGGGTCGTGCGTGTCATGAGGGGCGCAGTCGAACTTCAAACCGTTAAGCACACCGTTCGCCCCCTGCGCTGTCGAGGGAAAACATGTCAGAGGACTGCAGCGGAGACCTCCACAGCAGCGAGGTGAAGCATGCGTTTTACTCGACATGAAGCCTTCTATAGTGATCCCTTCCTTCTCCCCCTCCTCCTTTCCGTCTCCATGTGTTTCTGTTTCGCAGTCGTGGGGCGCCCCGTTTTGGCTCCACTCTCGCGATGCGCTCTTCTTTTTTCTGCTTCACAGTCGTGGGCCGCTCCGTTTCTCTGCTTCGCAGTCGTGATGTGTTCCTTCTGCTTCTGCTTCTCAGTCGTGGGGCGCTCCGTTTTTCTGCTTCGCAGTCGCGATGCGCCCCTCCTCTTTCTGCTTCGCAGTCGCGTTGGTCTGACTTCCGCGGCGTCTTTCACTCAAAGGCGCCGGGAAGGGGGCCAATCCAGCGAATGGAATTGGAGAAGGACGGGGGGCAGGAGGACCAGGAGGAGGACGAGGGGGAAAGCAGGGGGAGGGGCGGGAGAGAAGAGGAGGAGCAAGGGCACGGGAAATGGGTTTCGCCGCCGCTCTAGCCGCCACCTCTCGAGATGCCAGCCAACCCAGACAGGGCCCCAAGCGGCGCAGCGCGCGTGCGCTGCAGGGCGCTTTGGGTTGGGAATCTGCCTCACTACGTCGAGTTCGACGCTGTGAGGCGGCTATTCCTGGACAGAGGTTGCCATGGAGTGGTAGACTGGTGGGCGACGCGCCGGGTGGGGAGCCAGGGCGAGGAGCAGGACAGCTGGATGGTGCTGATCTTCAGCACCGCGTGGCAGGATGTTTTCTTAGGGGGGGGGCAGCCTTTAACTCGAAGGCGCTGTTCTTTTCTATTGCGCCGAGCGCCATTGGCGCCTTTCACTCAAAGGCGCAATGGGAGCTCCAGCGCAACAGTGCGTTGTCTTTTAAGCTGTTCTCTGAGGCGCAGATGGCGTATGAGACGTTCAACGGCCGGCTGGCGTTCGGCTACAAAGAACTGATCCTCAGGCACCGTATTCTCTCACAATGCGCTCTGCAATGACATTCGTTTCAGTGCAGCTTCTGGCGCGCAGTGCGCGGCAGGAGCTGCAAGGAAAAGGCGCGATTAACTCTGTGGCGTGCGCGTTTCCTTCGTTCGCCGAAGAATTGTTTTACCCCGAGGCAGAAGCAAGACGCCGACCCCGAGACCAGGGCTGAGCGCTCGCTAAGGGGGGCGCCGCTGCCGGAGGGGGCTACGCCGACGGAGCGCATGGCGAAGCCTTTGCCAGGTTCCGCATTCTTAGGAAAAGCACGCAAACATGTTTTGTTTATTTGAATGTGTCCCGCGCCCGCTTCCATTCACACGTAAAACGCCCGCAGAGGCAATTGTGGGCGCCCCCAGGCGCCACGCCTCGCGGTCCAGGAGAACCAGAACCAGCGCCGCAGCCTGTCGCCATCCCTGAGTTGGTGACGTACGGCGTGGCGCCACCACCGCCGCCGCAGTCTGCGCTTCGGCCGCCCCTGCCGCCTGGGCCCCAGAAGAAACTCAAGCGCGCTGCGCAGGATCCTCTTTTGTGACCCAGTGCAAAGACACCCCCCCACGATAAAACTCAGCGCTCGAAGTCGACCGCTCGAGCGTCCACAAAAACACGCAGCAGGAAAATCTTTGGCACGGCCGGGGGGCCCACAGCTGCTCGGACGCCTGCCTCGGTGCCCCCACGGGGGGAGAAGTAGCTGTCCGTGATGGGAACAAAGCTCGCAGGAGGAGCCAGCGCCGCCACCGCCTCCGCCACCGCCACCGCCACCGCCCCCGCCGTCAGCAGCCGCCGGCAGCACCAGTGGCAGCGGGCGCTTGGCTCTACATGGTTACGGCGCCGCTGGTGCTGACGACCCGCAGCCAGCGCCCGCGCCGCAGCCGGTGCCTACTTCACCAGCGTCCCTGAGCTGCCCCAAAGGCCACTCTTTCGAGTGCGAGGTGGCGGGCAAATGCCAATTCATAAAGCGGCGGGGGATCCGCGACGGGCCAATCAATCATTGGCCCTGCGCGCTCTACCATGGCGGGCAACGCGAAACCTTCTCCCCCCGAAGCCAGCGACCTGAAGCATGCAGTCAACGCACTTAAGGGCCTGCGCCCTTGAGCGGGGGGGG